CCCTGCTTTCTGACATATCCCGCAAACGTAGGGTTCATAACAAAGGTGTTTGTATACATGCATTAAATGTTTCCGGGGTTGAATTAAATTAGGTGGTAACAAGATGATATCTTCCTTTTTTTCACTTGACTCGCAGACTGGACAATAGGGCCGAGGTTGGGCAAATCTACCACGACTTGTGGATACTTGAGATTTCAGAAAATCATCAATCCATTCGGTAATCCAAGGCATTAATCTTTTCTTAAACGTAGCAGTCTTTTCTTCACTATGATCTTTTCGATAATGGATAAATAAATTTTTTAAATTAGTTGTCACTTCCAAACATTGAGTACATTTGAATGGATAATAATCCATGTGAGACTGGTAATGATCAAATGCACTCGATTTTCCTTGGATGTTTTTCTCATGGCAGAATATACAGAAGAATGAAATCTAATAGAAATTAGAAAGAAAAAGGAAAAAAAATCCAAGACAAAAGGATTCAATTAATTAGACGAAAATTTTAAGGTACAATTGAGGTGTAAGAATTTTTTAGGAAGAAGGTTACCGTTTCTTCATTCAATTGACTACTTTTTTCCAAGTCTTTTTCTGCCGGTGGTACAATCATTTCCTCTTCATCATCTGAAGAGTCATAACAGTCTATTTGCATATCTTCATGATGGTTATTAGATTCTTCATCGGTCATCTTTTCTTGCTTAATCATTTCTGGATCTCTAATCACTCTATATTTAGATACATCGGAGATTCTTAATATTCTAACAGAACATGGCTTGATTATTCCTTCATATCTTTTCTCGTCAGCGATTCGAGTGGCAAGTTCTTCAGCTACTTTGTACATTAATTCAAGTCCACGAGCAGGGGGTTCAGACGGAGCAACATCGTCAATTTCTGGTTCTAGAATTTCATCTAAAGAGAAAGAGAGCAGGATAGAAAATTCAATTAGTTTAAAAATAATAATAAACAATGGAAAGAATAGGGAAAGAAATAGGAAAATATTTTCACTTTGCTTGTATGTAAATTTGACAAACCAGATAAACTGATTTAAAGATTATCAATTGATTAAGCCTTAAAATGAATAAAAAACATACCCGATGATTGTTTTTTCGTCTCAATAACGTCAACAGAATTTTGATTATTAATTAATAGCAGAGGTGGAGGTAAATTCTCATGAGGTGGTGGACCATTTTGAATAGAAGACTTTATTTGATCCATAGCTTGGTCTCAATGGAATCAACAAGCAAAGAGAAGCGAGAAAATGGTGATGATGGAATAACTGGAAAGAGGGCAAAAAGAAGCAAAAAATTAAAAATCAAACACAGTTGATAACAATTGATCGCTTTTGATTTGGCGATAAAAAACAACACAAACAAAAAAGGAAGAAATGACAACGACATGAAAAGAAACCAAGTCAAGTGAAATATTAGATTTAAGAAGCTTACAAAGGGCAAATTTTTACAATCCAAAAGCGAAAACCATGATTTATGGATTAAATTGATTGGTGATAAATGATAACCAAGAAAATGAACACTCAAAAAATGGGATTAATTAAATTAAACATTCCAATAGAGATCAATATTCATTAAAGTATATCAATAACAGGAAAATGAAGGTAAATATTTTGACTTGTAGAAATATTTTCTTCTGATTCAAACATATGATTGAACAGGAAGAAAAGAGGAATCATTGAGTTTGGCGGTAAAACTGATTTCTTTTTGCCAACATGAACATGATTGGAAATGCTTTTAATCGCTCACCATTAATGCCTTTTTCTTGTTAAAACAATAGATTGAAGCAAATCAAATATGGTTAAAATTTGATCAATTAACTGGGTTTAAATCACTTGGAAAATTGATACGCATTAAATTCACTGTAACCATTGGGATGGAGAAAAAATTATTGCCGATCAATTTGCCAATGATCCAAATTAAGATATCATTGAGATGGAAATTTTAAACTTGGAGAAATTAATTAAATCACTCACATAGGGTAATCAATTTAACACATGATTGTCTTTAAATGTATTAGCTTATTGAATCCATATCCAAGATGAGAGCCAAAGAAAGTGATAGAAACCAGATCACAATTTGGAAATGGGAGACGAAAAAAAACCAAATAATGACCATCAACTGTCACCAAATTGTCTGTCAAAATTATGATCACTTTAAACTTGTCAACAAATAGTTCAATGTAATTAATCGACTGTTAAAAATTGATTTGTTTTAATGATAAACATTTGATGAAAACAATAAGTTCATCAAACCCAGAAGATCATATTTTCTGTTGTCAAGGGTTAAGTTTTTACAGAGAGAAACAAAAATAGAAACTTAATGGTCACTATGTTGAGAATAAATTAAAGATCAGGTTACAGATAAATTCTAATTAATTAGTTGTTAGAAAATAAAAAAGAAGAATAAATTAATTGTTTAGTTTGTTAATTAGAAAAGGAAAAAGTTTATAAAGAGAAGATAAAAATAATAAAGAGTCGAGTTAATGAGAAAATGGAAAAGAAAATTTTTTTTTCTTTTCTCTTTTACAATTCGCACTTAGAAGATTTTCCCTCAATTCGGTTTTCTCATTTGTATGTTTCCGTTTCCTTCTTTCACTTGGAATTGTGATCAGGCACATTCTTTAGTTGGTGTTTTTTTCTTATTTTGATTAATTTAATTGTGTGTAATTACAATGCCTGGATTCAAAGAAAAGGTAATTTAGATCAACTAATTGTGTGTCTTGATGAGATTTTAAATTAATATGATTTGGTTTTCTCTTCTGTGTTTGATTTCCTTAGCCTCTTCTTATTGATGGTAAGGGTCACCTATTGGGTAGACTTGCCGCTGTTGTAGCTAAATCACTTTTACAAGGTATGTTTTTAATTTGTTTTAATTGTTTTTTAGTGTTTCAATATTATTATTACTATGATGAGAAATTCCCAAAACACTGATCAACCCTGATTAGACCTGTTCAAGAACCATGCACTACCATCTGAAACTGTATCTTAAACATTTGGAGAAGAATTTTTTTGTTCGATTTCTAATGAATTTTCTCTTCTATTTTTTTTTCCTTCTTTGCAGGTCAAAAAGTCACTGTTGTTAGATGTGAAGCTATTAACATTTCCGGTTCATTTTACCGAAATAAATGTGAGTATTTGTGCTGTCGATCCTATTTTTCTTTTGCTTCTAACTTTGATCCGATTATTTATGGTATATATTTTTCTAACTTTTCTTTTCTCTTCTCTTTATTTTAGTAAAATATTTATCTTTCCTCCGTAAAAGGTGTAATGTCAACCCAAAACGTGGACCTTTCCATTTCCGGGCTCCTAGTAAAATCTTCTGGCGAACTGTCCGAGGTATGCTACCTCATAAAACTAAGCGAGGTTATAATGCTTTATTAAAGCTTAAAGCACATGAAGGTTGCCCTCCACCTTTTGACAAACAGAAAAAAATGGTTGTTCCATCAGCGTTGAGAGTTTTAAGGCTAGCTTCAGGTCGAAAGGTAAGTTCAAATAATCGTTGAAATATTTTTCTCTCTTTAAAATGATGACTCAATATTAACCTTATCTACATTAGATGAACAGTGATATCAAATTTAAAACCTGATTTCATATTTCTTTGTCATCAAAATTTTCTATATTTTTGTTTGCTTTCTGACACGTTTTCTTTTCTTCTCTTTCCTTATCTCTACAGTTCTGTGCCCTCGGTAGATTATCACATGAAGTTGGATGGAAATATCAAGGACTCGTTGAGACTCTTGAAGCCCGACGAAAAGCACGTTCTTTAGTCAGATACAAGAAAGTTAAGGCTGAAGCCAAAATACGTACACAGGCTAAAGAAATGTTAGCCGCTAAGTTGAAACCTCTAAACGATATTGTAGCTTCTTATGGTTATGCTGTATAAGAATTTTGTCAAATTTGTGGAAATTAAACTTTTTTTCACACGAAAATGAGTTAATCATCATGATAAAAAGTTCATCAAATTTAAATACAAATATATATCTATATATTTTTCCACGTGTAAGTTTTAATTTGAATTACGAAAATATTTTCTCACCCTGGAGATTATTTCGTCATTTTTTTATACAATTATGATGACAATTAGTCAAAAAGAATCATTTTTTTTGACTCACCAGTTTCTTCAATTTTCTTCTATCAAACAAAAGCTCCTCTTCTACATCACTTTGATCATCCTCAATGATTCCAATATTTTCTCCTCTTTTGGTTCCATCTTTTTTCACTATTTTCCTAATCACATGAGTTAAAGTTGCTCTCCATCCATTGGAAGTTGATTGTAATTGATTACGATATTCACTTTCATCTTTGATTAAATTGATTCCATACCAAATGATGATCAAAATGGTAGTTGAGAGTAACCAAAAAAGAAAAAGTTGCTTAATAAAACGATTATCATTTCCAATGGAAGATTGATCGGCACTAATCATCTGTTGATCTAAATCACTTCTATCTTCAGCAATTAAATTGATCAACTCGGAAGGAATTGAAAATTTATCTTCCATTTGATCAGAATCATTTTCCACTTGATCACTTTTCTCATTTGAAGATAATTGTTGCAGGTAAACTTTAGCCAATTGTTTCAAATTCATGGCAACAAACAATTAACTGGAACAATTTGTAAAATATTGACCATTGTGTGTGCCAGTAAATTAACAAATTACCAAATTAATCAATGAGAAAACTTGAATTATCCCAACAATCAGGATACCGAGTGTTTCTAATTAAAAGTAAACATTATGAATATTTTAAAAGAAATTGATACTTTTTCAATTGAAAGTTACAACTTTTGTTCTGTATCATAAATCAGAGAATAATAGTTTAATTGTTGACTTGATAATTAGAGAAATTAACTTAAATTGTTTGATTAGTTTTCTTTTCTCGTTTCAATTAAAATTCGCGGTAAAATTTTTTTTCTCCTTTTTTGTCTTCAGGTGATTTCGATTTGAAAAGAAAACATGAAAATTAAAAGCTTCTTGTTTCTATTTCTATTAATTAGATAAAATTAGATAATATCTGGTGATAGATTTAGAACTTGATTAATTGTATCACCAGATTAAGTTTGCAGTTAATTGATGTAATGTTTACAATAAATAAAAATCCTAAATCATCAATACGAAACAGTTTAATTGCCAACGGAATCTCATCTCAATCTGTATCTGTGTTAATAATAACTCACTATGAATCTATTTTTAGTTAATTTTGACAATTAATGTTGTAATTGATTCTCAATTAACCTCAAACTGTTTCTAAGGTGAGTAATTATTTATTTTCAACTTATTCGATTTAGAGTAACATTTCTGATTAGTTTTTATTGTGTTTTCTTTTCTAACAGGTAACATGATTTACTAAGTGTCTTCTCAATAGTTAATTAACATTAGTTATTCAATTAGGTTATTAGAACCGTTTAAACAATGGTCAGAACTGTTGGAGGTCCTGGTGTTTCCCGACTCATATCACCTTTTAACGATGTTTTCAATTTGATCACGGAAGGAAACGAAAAGGCCTTGAAACAAGCTTTTTACAATACGATTGCGATTCTATTCATTTTGTTTGTGCTCTCATCGGTCGCCGCTGTTTACCTTGTCCTTCAGCCTTTTCTATCGCCATTGTTATGGGCGACACTTATCGGGTCCGTTCTCCATCCATTTAAACGTAAATTAACTCGATTCTCCCGTTGGTGGTTAACAGATGACACCAAACGACCGATTAGTATTTCCGTGGTTAAAATGCCTTTAACGTTGGTTAATTTTGTCGTCAATACGGTTGCCAAGATTGTCCAACATTATTACAAATTATTGGTCTTTATTTTTGTTGTTCTTCTAATTGTCCATCTAAGTTTATTTTACTTCTCCTTCACTCATTCATTATTCTCACTATCAACATGGGCGATTAACAGCTTGATCCGATTGGCAACCAATTTGGTTGATTCCTGTAATGCTTTTATCCTGAGTACTCTGATTTTATGTCAACTCTTGATGAATCTATTTTCTACTAACAATTTGGTCCAAAAAGCTTCAAATACTATATTTCCTTTCACCTTTTTCCTGATAATTTTCAAAATTCTCAGTCTATTGGGTACATTTGGTGTTTTGGTTTTCATAACATTCACTTTGATCACATTAACTGGAATTGGTGCTAGTCTGTTTTTCCAATCAAAAAATGGCCTTGATGAAGATGTTCCCGATTCTGTTTACAAAAGATTTCCAGTCCCATTGATGCGTTCAATACTTTTCATTTGGAATTGTATTCAATGTCTTCTTCCAACTCCTCATGTAGAATCAACAAGTTCACAGTCATCACCACAAGAATCAATTGAAGACGATGACAACTCATCTGTAGACAATGAAAGTCAATCTAATTCAGAAGATATTCACTCAAAAGTTCCAACACCAAATCCATTGATCCCAAGTGATTTGATTGGTAAAACTGAATCAGATCAAACTGAATCAACTGAACCAGAATCATTGTCAACAACTGATGCCAGTAGTTTAAAAGCAATACCACCAGTAAATTTGCATCGAGTATTAAATGAGGATCGGGACAAATCAATTTCTAATTTCAAGCTTAGTAATTCGTATTTATATTCAGTCTTTTGGAGTTGCCTTCTTGCTCAAATTTGGTTAAGACCAGAATTACTTTACTTGACTCCTGTTCCAATATTTTTGTTCACCATTTCATGGGTTTGGAGGAAAATCAATGGAAATGAAATCATCGCAAATTGGATCTCATCAATTAGTAACTTTCTCGAAGGCCAATTTTCATTCCTACATAATTCAATTCTCACTGGATTTCATCACTATTACATGTTAGGAGATTCAACTGTAAGTATTGAAAAACTCTCTCTCTCTCTCTCATATTAGTAATTACTAATTTCTCTTTCTATCAATTAGCTCGCTGGTTTTTTATTGGACTCAATTGATACGATTTGTAGCCTTTTGACAATATTCGTTATGATATTTGGTGTCCTCTTTGCTGTCGCTTTTCTTGCTGTCCAGGTATTGAACATTTTCCTTTATCTTTACATCGATCGGTTGATTGTTTACATTTGGTTGTCATTAATTAATTCTGTTGTTTATTCAAGATCTACCATGAAAGTGCTTGCCTAGTTGAGTTAATGGGAAATGTTGTTAACTCAACACTAGCAAACAATTCACAATTGGCTTCAGGTTTTCCTTCCAGTGATCTAATTAGTCAAAATGTTTTCGATGAGATGATTAACAATGCTTACATTTATGGTCGTCAATGGCTTCAAAAGTCAATCCGTAATACTTTGGAAACGGGAAGTGAAAATTCAAATACAACTATTCTAGTTGAGAAACAATTACTCGAGGTTTGGGATCGAGTTTACCATCAATGGTTAATTAGAAACACTAATTCAAGTCTAACTGGATTAGGAAATAGATCCTTTGAAACTTACAGTTGGAATCGTTTATTTGCCGCTTTGAAAACTTTAGATTTAGTTCTTTGTGCTAATCTACTCAAGGAAAATTTAGATACAGTTCTTTCCGTGAGTATCAATCAATTGGAAGGAAAAATTTTCCATAACAATTAAGTTTCTAATTTTTTTTTCTCTCTTTAAATTTCCACAGATATTTGATTCTGTTTGGGTTTTATTGAAATCAAATTTCACCCTTTTCTTTACCGTTATTACCGCAGTACTCTCGATGATTCTTAGTGGAAGTACAGCAATTCTTAATTGTTGTCTTAATTTTGTAAATATCTTTAATTTTTTTCCATTTCAATTGTTAATTGTTGACGTTTATTTTTCTTTCATTTTTTAGATCGTTTTTGCCACATCACTTTTTTATTTACTCTGTTCCAGTGGCGATGAATACAAACCTGTTGAATTGGTTGGAAGATTTTTACCCAACATTGATCGTGGTGGAAATTATTTAAATAAATTTGGTTTAGCAGTCGAAGAATCAGTTAATAGTGTTTTCGCCGCTTCCTTTAAAATGACCGTATTTTATGGCCTTTATACTTGGTTAATTCATACTCTCTTCGAAGTTCGTATTATATACATACCTTCAGGTAAAATTTTCTTTTGGACGTAAACTTTATTCCTATCGAATTTGGTTATTGATTATTTTCTTCGTTACTTAGTTTTAGCCGCTCTTTTCGGTGCTGTACCATTTATTGGTGCTTATTGGGCTTCGATACCCGCTGTTCTCGAGCTCTATTTAATTCACGATCTTGGAGGTCGTTCACTGTTAATGTCATTCTTTGCTATTCTACCTTCTTACTTTGTTGACTCTGCGATTTACAGTGATATTAAAGGGTAATTATCTTTTTCTTTGTTGAATTCATTTTCTCGTGAATTACAATTTACTGATTGTTTACAATTATCTTGCAATTAACACAGCGGGGGACATCCTTACCTTACCGGGTTGGCGATTGCTGGTGGGGTATTTTATCTTGGATTTTCGGGCGCTTTTTTTGGACCAATGATACTTTGCTGTCTCTTCGTAGCGGCTAAACTTTACACTTCGATAATGGCTGAAAGTTCAATCAAAAACTCAATCAATCAAACTCGACTAAGGCCACCACTTAAACGGGGAAATACAACCGTCAATTTGTAAAATGCTGATTGTTTACCAAGAAAATTATAGTCACCAAAGAAACTAATTAACTGGGAGTGTAAATATTTGTTCATTGTTCATCACCATCGTCCATTTAATATGCGATCAATTGATTTTCATTCAATTGTAAACGTGCAATCAATTTATCTATTGTGATTGATGAGACTCTAAAGATTAATTATTCGCAAATAACTAAATTTAATTGTCTAATTTAAATAATAAAATCTTCATTGATTGTATATTAATCATTCAAATACTCTTAGATTATTGTTAAACATTTAATTTTCTCCAAATAATTAATTAATCTCCAGTTTATCTTATAAGTAATTGTTGTGTCTGGTTTGTTTTCGACGTGATCATCATCAATTAATTGTGAACAATCAACCAGAAATAATCAAAGTAAACAAGATTAAGATTAAAAAACAGGTCTTTGAAACATCCCAAGGTTAACAATTTATTTTAATTGAATAAGAAATTAAGATAAACAACAACAAATCGATATTCGGAGTAACAGAATCTCTTAATTTAGTTAAGTGAAACAATTCCAATGGGTTGAGTTTAATTCTTATCACAATTTATTTTTAACAATTAACTTTGAGATGAAAATACAACAACAATGAGAAACAAAATAAAGTAAACAACAATTTACTTTAATTACTAAAGTTAATCAAGGTAAATGAAGATGAATTGTTGGTCATCTCTCTCTTCCCTCCCTAGTTAATTAATAAAAATTTAATTGGATGATTAAAATTCGATATAAAAGAATAAAATGTTCGATTCGATTAGAAATTAATTCCATAGTTCTAACAAACTCGAAAGTAATAACAACGAATAAGTTTTATATTTTCACTTGTCTCTTTTTCCTTAATTTGCTTATCCAATTTGACAAGAAATCGAAAAGTTAATTACATACCTTAGTGTTCACCTTGTTTCCAATTTAATTTAGTTTTCCATTAACAATTAAACTCGTATTATATGTAAATTAAATCACAAAATGATCATCACCTTTAAAAGAGTAATTATCATTACCATTTTAATTGTATTCTCAACAACGATCAGTGTGTCTGCTCAAAGTACGTTGATCTCAACAATTAAATTAACTCTTGTAAATTAAATTCTCTCTTCTTTTCTCTTAATTGTCACAGATGATACTCGATGTAAAGCCTTAGGGGATGAATTAGATTCACTAATTAAAGATGTACTTCACATGAAGCCGAATCCATTGTTTCCCAATTCAACTGAAAATCGAGATCTTTTCTGCCGGTATTGTATTAATATTCAATTTCCAATCGAAAACAACAAACCAATTAACCAAATTAATGAGAAACACAATTTAATTAACTTTGTTCTTTTCTAGACCATCGAAAGAAGTTCTTAAAAAGGCCAATATTTACGCTAAATGTTTACCTCGATTCCAATCGCAGGTCATTTCAATCGTAGCGAAAGGAACCCGAAAACCAGTGAAACAAATCTGTGATGGAAATGGAACAAGTGAGTTAATTAATTAGAAAAGAAACAGAAAAAAATCAATAGTTAATTGTTCTTATTACTTACAGAAATCATCGAGACTTATTCTTGTATGGATCAATCGTTCAAAGAGGCTCTTCATAAACAAGAATCAATTTTTCTTAATTCATTGATTGTGATTAAGGAAAAAATCTCTCAGGATAAAGTTCATTCAGCTTTTTGTTGTACAGCTCGAAACATTTCTGAAAGTTTATTGGTTAATCTGCCACAGATTAAGTGTAAAGATGATCCAACAATTAACTTACCCAAATACTTTTACAATCTAATTGAAGCTTCATTAGGAGACACGTTGGACTTAATTTGTGGTTCATTTCCTTCATTCAAGGTTTGCCTTGAGAAAGCCGTTGATTCAGTTAAATTGTTGGAAGACAATTATTCATCAGCAATTGATACCAAAGAAACACCTCTAGTTGAATCAGTTTTGTCAATTATTAGTAAACTTGCAAGTTAACAACAATTAACTTAATTTAATTTCAATTCTTCAATGTAAAGTATATCTAATACTTTACTTGATTTCTAAATTGTTTGACTTCAAGTGAATTAATCAAAGATAAATCAATAAAGTTAATTATTTTCTATTCTGTAAAAAAAAAGTTAAATCAATCAATCATTTTAATCTCGTGATTAACTTTGATGATCAATTTGATTTGGATTCTTGTTCAATAAAAGATAATTGTTTAAAGTAGTTATAAAAGTCTCTCTGCCCCCTTTTTTTCCTCTTTCTTTCTTTTAAACGAGAATTTCACCACCTCTTTCTTTTTTCCCTTTCTTTTTTCTCTTTCTTTTTCTCTTTCTTTTTTCTCTTTTCTATTTAGTTAAAGGTCACGACTACGTGTCAGAGGTTTTCAAATAATTACTTTCTATATAAGAAATTTAAATAATTATATTAATATTCAAATTGAGTATAATGTTCAATATGGATTATAAAACATTATCGACTGAACCGGAAGTGGTTAATGTTGTGATCTCATGTATTCTTGATAAAAAGTTGAATCCAAGTGATTATGGTGAATATGACCCATGTAAATTTTCTGGAATAGTACTAAGAGATGATAAATCATGTCTTCTAATATATCATTCAACAAAAATCAATATAACAGGAGTAAAGTCACTTCTTGAAGCGGAACAAGTAATACATCGGAACTTACCGGATATCAATATAATTTCATCAAGAATTGTAAACATCACAGCTACAGCTTCAATACTACCGGAAATTAACTTCAAGGACGTTTATAATAACGAGAACTTTTCATGGGAGCCTGAACTATTTCCTGGTATTATCTACCGGAAACGGAAACATGTTGCAACTCTCTTCCGTTCTAGGAAAGTTAACCTAACTGGATTCAAAGCAGTTGAAGAGATAGCTCCCTTTTTCAACGAGTTTCTCAAGAGTTTACCACTAATATAAAAGGATCAAAAACTGGATCAGATTGATTAAAATGTATTCTTGTAACAAGTGTAATAGACTATCCAAGAGAAAATATTGTTATAATTGTTCTACCAAATACAAATGTAGTGAGTGTAAACGAACATTCTTCATTGAATCAAACTACGATGACCATAGAATCCGATGTCAGTCTAAGGAAATTTTTGGTCTAGCTGACTTTGATCCCTTTGTTTTGGTGATTAGTGCTTTCAAACAATTTTTGGTGATCTATAAACGAAATAATCTAACATACAATGACCTGGATGAATTATTCAATGATCATCGTAGCACAATTGAAAACCTTTTTTTCTATATTAATGAGAAACTAAAATGTTTCAAATTTCAAATCTGTGTATTCATTCATTTCGTGAAACCAAATAATGGAAATTCAACAACGTCTTATATTTGTTCATCTATGAAAACTATAACAACTCCATGGAATTCAATGGATATTTTAAATGAGTGTCAAGTTGAAATAAATGCAACAATCGATTCATTTACAAATAAAGGGAGTGGATGGGCCATAGATGAAATCTCTACAATTGAAATACGTGTTGCAAAATACCGTCCCGATTCTGGTGGTTGTTATAAACAAAAATTACCAGATTGGATTCATAACAAAAAAGCCCTAATCTCACCAAACTGTGAAAGAAATTGTTTCATCTACAGCGTGTTGATGGGGTTATACCCACAAGTGAAAAACGCACACAAAGTCAGTAAATATAAAAAGTATCTTGACAAGTACTATGATTTCAAAGGTGTTGTGAAAGTTTCTGAGATTCCAAAATTCGAAAAAGTACACAAATCTTCAATCAATATTTATTCATTGGACTATGATGAAAAGTTTATCATTCCACTTCAACTATCAAAATTCCAATTCAACAAAATTATCAACTTATTTCTTCATGAAGAACATTACTACTACATCAAAAACTTTGATCGTTTAATCAACACAGCCAATGGGAAATCATTGAAGCGATGTCACAAGTGTCTTCAAGGTTTTTCCAACATTGATAAGTTTCTATCGCATCAACAAACGTGTCAATCCAAACAACTGGTTCTCCTCCCACAGCCCAATACAAAAATAGGATTTATAAAGTTCAAGGCTTTGGAAAAGTATCCGTTTATTGTTTACGCTGATTTTGAAACATTAGCCAAAACAATAGACAACGACATTATCTCCAATACTTTTGAATATCAAAAGCACATACCATCTAGCTTCGGATTCGTCTGTGTAAATTGGATGGGAGAAATCATTTACTCAAAATTTTATCGAGGAACCAATACAGCGGCAATATTTTTTGATGAGTTAAATCGTTTACCATTTCTAGTTCAACAAATCTTTTCAAACAATATTAAGCCATTGGTTACAACTATTGAACAAGATATCCAAATCCAAAATGAACCATATTGTTGGATATGTAAACAAAGGTTTGAACCTAATCAAAAAAAAGTAAGAGACCATAATCATCTATCCGGACAATTGAGAGGAGCTGCTCATTCTTGGTGTAACCTCGAAATTCATTGGGATGGTAAAATACCAGTCGTTTTTCACAATCTTAAAAACTTTGATGGACACATTTTAGTTCAAGCAATGAATAGAAACAATGTTTCAAAAGTTTCAGTTATACCCAATACAATGGAAAATATTCAGCCATCTATAGAAGCTTCATTTTCATCGATTCATATGCGTTTTTAGCTTCAAGTCTCGATTCATTAGCTTCTAATCTTGACGAACAAACAAAAGTGAGATTCTTATCACAAATGTTCCCAAGTGATAAGATAAATAATCTAATGAAAAAAGGAGCATTACCATACAGTACATTGATGATTGGTCCAAGTTTGACGATACTGAATTACCACCAATTGATAAGTTTCATTCATCATTAACAAATTCAACAATAAGTGATGAAATCTATCTACGATTACAATCAATTTGGAATGAATTCAGCTGTAAAAATCTTGGTGAATTTCAAGATATTTATCTCAAAGTAGACGTTATCCTTCTCGCCGCTATCTTTGAAAGCTTTAGAGATAGTTGTTTAAAAGAATTTCAATTAGATCCAGCTCATTACATTTCAATTCCGAGTTTATCATGGGATTCAGCCTTACGGATGACTAACGCTGGATTGGAATTACTTAGTGATATTGATATGATCACAATGATTGAAAATGGTATACGTGGTGGTATTTCCTGTGCAATGACTCATCATGTTAAGGCTAATAATCCATTGGTCCCTGGTTATCGACCAGAGGAACCTCATTCTTACATCACATACCTCGATGTGAATAATCTTTATGGGTGGGCGTTGGCTCGTAAACTACCAACATACAACTTTAAATGGGTCGAAGATTTCGATGAGATGATCATCAAGATTAAAAATGGTGATGAAGATAAAGGATATATATTAGAGGTTGATCTTGAATACCCAACTCATCTACACGATTGGCATGATGATTATCCATTAGCTGTTGAGAAGTTGACCATCCACGAAGATAAGTTGAGTCCTCATCAAACTCATATTTTACAACTAATGGGTGAAATTGGTCGTAAAGAGTGGCCACAGAGAAACTCATACCAAACTTGATGGATAAAAAAATATATTATATACTACAAAAACTTGAAATACTATCTGGAAAAAGGATTAATTCTAACCAAAGTTCATCGAGCTATTGAATTTATTGAAACAGCTTGGTTGGAGCCTTATATTATGATGTGTACAAATAAACGTCAACAAGCCAAGAACTCATTCGAAAAAGATTTATATAAATTGATGGTAAACTCTTTATATGGTAAGAGTATAGAAGACAAGAGGAAACATTCAAAAGTTGAGATACCAATGTCAAGGAAAAAAATACAAAAACTAACAAAATTATTATTCATGATTCTTGATGAAAATAAAGCTATTTGTAAGCTAAGAAATAATTCTGTTGTATTGGATAAACCAATCCATTTTGGCTTCACCGTTCTTGAGTACGCAAAGCTCAAAATGTATCAGCTTCATTATGATACGTTCAAATCTTACTATGGAAACAAGATAAAACTAATCTACACTGATACCGATTCATTCATCTACCATATTCAAACAAACAACTTCACTCATGATTTAATCAACTTTAAGGATATTATGGACTTTTGTGATTACCCGAAAAATCATCCTCTTCAGTCAGATTGTCATAAAAAGATGCTTGGTTACCTCAAGGATGAGATGAATGGAAAACCAATACACGAAGTAATAGCCATTAAACCTAAGATGTACTTGATTAAAAGTGATGAAGGTGAAAAAAAGACTGCCAAGGGGGTTCAACGAGTAGTGTTGAAACAACAAATCAAATATAACCATTTCTTTTCATGTTTATATGATTACACTACTTATCGTCATACAATGCATCGACTTCAAAGTAAGGAGCATCAAATCTATGCTGTGTCGACTGAAAAGGTTAGCTTATCACCTTTGGATGATAAACGGTGGGCTATCAACCCAATTGAAACATACGCGTATGGAAATTATAAAATAAATATGGAGACTTTGATTTAAATTTAAAAAACCTTTATTAAAATAATGTAATGTTCTCAGAACTCTTTACAAAAATATATTTTAAAATAAGAAGAAAATATGTTATTAAAATTATTAATAAAATACAAATTATTTCACAAATACTTGAACAATTTGTCATCATTATTACATTCATAAAACTTTTCAAAAAATGATTGATAGTTAGGCGTGAATTTGAGAAATACGATACAATAGTAACCACATCTAACTGAAAGATCACCTTGTAGTTTCTTTATATTATATTTCCAACCAAATTTGGAATTCCTCTCCATGAAAGTGATAATTGATGGTGGTGGGTAACGACCATAAGAATCAAAATAGTAAGCTGGTCCATTGACAGGAAAATAAATTACAACCCAGTGACTACCCGGCTTCCAGCTTTCATCAAGATTTACAATAAATGATCTTGGTTTAGCTATCAATGTTAGTGGTAAATGATCGATAGGAAAAACACCTCCAAAGTAAATATTCTTCTTCATATATTTGTGAATATCCCAATTTGTTAAAGCCATTACCAATCAATAGATACGTTTCTGTATTTATCAATTTCTATCAGATTATCAAATTGAGCAAAAACAATCATATGAATTGGTGAAGGAGTAGCTTCTTTGAATTTGACTTCAATCTTTATATTCCCTCTTTTCAATAGACTAAGGGTTCCAGTTTCACCACCAAGTGAAACATCCGGAGAGAGATCAAAAGCGTATAGACAAAATGTATCTTTAAATTCTTTATATGTTATTGTACACATTGGAACTCCCTCATGTTGATTGATAAATCTATAGAGTCCAATAAACTCTTTCATATACAAGTTACTATCATAATCAGGATTGTAGTTATTAGTAGGAATTAAGTTCCCATTGACAGCACATGATATTGTTTTAATTCCTTGATTTCCAAATTTAAAGGGACCGTCAGAACTGTTTCCATTGATATTATCATCTTTAACGAAACCAATAATCATTCGTCTAGGTAATATCCCATTGTAAACACTTTCAAAACTAATTGATGAATTGGACTTTGGAATAATGAAACTCTTCATATCATTTCGAGTAACAAAGTATTTGGCTGAAGCCTTTTCAAGAGCTTCCTGAAGTCCAACACTAACATTACTAAATAATTTGACTCGTCGAATAACAATAGCCAACTCTTGAATAGTTAATTTATAATTAATAGCTGATTCTCCAACTCCAGGTGTAGTTTTCAGAAGACCAAACTGTTGATTAGCTCTATTCATTTTGACGAGGATGGGGACACCATTGAGTAAAAGATTATCCTGAGTACACATTGGAATATGTAATCTAAAGTAGAAATCAAAGGACTTTTTACGTTCTTTTCTATTATCAGCAGTATCCCAACCTGCTAACATCGATTTTGATGGGAATCCAAAAGTAAATCTTCAATACAAGCTTGGTAAGGATATAG